GGAGCAAGAGCAAACAGAATGAAAAAAATGGAAGAGAGGGAAGGGGGAGGGGAGAAAAAATACGCTTGCCCGCCAACCCCACAATTCTGAAAAACGCCCTTTGACATTTCACGGTTCGGTTCATTTGTAGATTTACAGTTTCTCAACATAGTGGCCAATAACGTAAATAACAGAGTTCCCGATGGTAAGATTCACTTAAAAGATGTTCCACGGGAGAGGGTTTCCGTTAAAGCAGGATCCCTAATCAATGATCAGAGATCGAGGATCGGGGATCATTGATCATTAATCAGAAGAGTCTTTGAGGAAAGGTCCAGTGTTGATAGGCCAAGAAAAGAGCAAGCTACAAAACGCTCGCCTTTTAAAGGGCAGCGTAATCACCTTTTTAAAAGGTTTTCTAGTATTACTTCCTCCATTATATTATAAAGGAAAAATTAGAAAAGACGATTCGTCCGCCGGGAGTCTAGTACCTGGACTTTTGCTGAACTCAACAAAACGTCTTTTAGAGCAGTTCGTTGAGGGGCCACGAACAGAGGGGCAAGGCTACTATTTCTCATGCTAGTCTACCATTTTACAATTCGCTTGTGTTCTTAGAGTACTATTTCCCCTTTTTAAAAGGTTTTACTTGGGTGCAGCAGCGCCAAATAAAGGATTTGCGACGCTCAGGAATGTCCTAAAGTTGCTGTCAAGCTGTTGCTAAATTAAGGATCCACGTACTCCGAAAACTGCCTTCCCAGTAATTTCTCAAACAGCTTGTCAAGAGTAGGTAGAATTGTAATTGGTCAGTAATTTCTACTTCTTCTCTGTTATTACTCTTATAGACTGGTAACCATTCTCCTCTCTTCCAACCTGATAACCATGTCCCTTATTCAATGATAGTGTTGAAAGTCCTGGTTAGTGAAGGTGCGAATTCCTCTGCTATTAACTTTAAAATCCTGGGTTTCATGCCATCATATCCAGGCGCTTTAGGAACACTAAGATTTTCAAGGGCATCCTTCACTTCATGATGGTTTACTGGCTGAAACAAAAGGGTTCATTTGATTCCTCCATATAGGTAGAGATGAGATGTAGACTGCTATGGTCAATAAACCCTCCTCGGTTAGATCCTCTGCCTTCTCACCTCCTATTCCCTTGGCCATACTACAAGTTTATCTCTTTCCAATCTGCCATCAATGGATAAATGTGTTTCTTTTTTCTGTTGCCCTCCTTGTCCTTTCTGTCCAAGAAGGGTTTGAAATTAAAAAAAAAATATCTGGGTTGCTCTTTTAGATCGTGTGATACCTCCTTCCAGTACTGCCTTATGGCTTTACACCTTTGTCGTGGGCCTCATTCCGCCATTTCCTCTTGAGTTCCAAATTTTCCGGTGTTTTGTTTTGGCTGTACCTTTTTGCCAAACTTACGTTTTAGCTCTTATAGCAGATTTCCATGCTGAAGTCATAAAGGGAACATCTTTTGCCCAGACTTTCATTTTCTTCATAGGCAAATGTTCCTGCAAAATGGCATACTACGCATGCGCACGGTCGGTCATCCTTTAAAGAGGAGTGGCCACATGGGGCCCGTTAACAAAAAAACACAATATAAAAAAAGCAGGGAGGGATTCAATGAGCAATGGGTGGGCGTGTAATCGCTGCTCTGTAGATGCCTGATAGAATTCCAATCAAACTTCAACTTCCAGGTAAGTCTCGTTTAATTTACTAATTCTATCAGTCATCTACCGCAGAGGTCCCACGAGATTTTCAAGTCATGTGGTCACTCAGGACGTCAAAACTTACGTTATTGTTCAGAACCACTAAGTACAATGTATACCAGGCATTAGATAACCTGCACAAAAGTTAACAGTATCTTTACAGAACAAAAAACTGCCCGACAATCAGGTTAACAATCAATGTGTTTCCATAGCAGCAGAAAGAACAGCATGACTAAAACTGTCAGATAAATTTTGGGGGCTGAACTGGTTTCTTGCAAAAAGTGTTGAAAACACAGTCACCGCTCCAACTGGCGGCTTTCATAACCGCAGGCAGTGAAACATTACAGCTACGAGTCTTGCTTGCAGACGCTGCTCGGGTACTGTGCGGTTTAAATACGGTGGTGTCTACACCAGCCTTTTTGCACCACAGTCCTTATCCATCTCGAAATAGTGTCTCTGGCCACCCATGATGTGGCTTACGTTTGAAGACTGATCTCCTTAGGAGGATGAAGTGTCTTAAGGTCAGTAAGAACTATTGAAGTGTCCCAGGTGGTAGTATAACGTGGGAAAGCTGGCCTTGTTTGGAAAACGCCTTTAAGAACCTTTGAACGAGTGGGTGATTCCCAACAGTAACATTCCCATCAAGGACGATAATGGAGGATAGGGCACTTCTTGCAGTATTTAGACAACTGTACCTCAAACCCCTTTCATAGAGTTCTTGTAGAAACTCCAACACATCTTTTACAGGTGGGTGAAGGGGATCCACGGCCTCCTATCTGCCAATGACTGCCACTTCTCAAGCTAGACCCGGTATTGTTTTTGGGTTGCTGTCCACCACTTGTTGAGGATTGTGTCTTGAGTTGCTTGTGAAATTCCTCTACTCTTGAGGGATTTCAGCATAAGAGGCAGGCCATCAGACGAAGCTGTCCCCCAAGAGGTGGCGCTGTTCTGGGTTGAATGGTAGAAGGACACTGTTCGTGTGTCTTGGCAGGAGGAGTGGCTTCCGAATCAAAAGTCTTGTTAGCTTAGCTTGGGGGCAATCAGCATGGCTTGGGCTTGACCCATTTCCACAGTTCTACAGAAATTGTGGCAGGATGCTAGAAGGGGGAAAGGCATATAAAAACTGATTAGTCCAATGCAGAGTAAACGCATGAATTGCCATGGCTTGTGGGTCTGCTAGCCACGAGACAAAAGGTGACATTATGTAACTCTAATGTGATCATGGCTCACTTCCTTACAAAGGGACTGCAAGCCCAAGAGACTTGCCTTTAGCTCCAAGAAATTATTATGGTGGCTTTCTTCTGAACTGGACCACCTTCCCCAAATTGTGGTGTCGTTCAGGCTTGCACCCCACCCCTGGGTAGAGGCATCAGTGTACAAAGTATGATTTATCTTCCCATGATCAGTCCTCCTCTTAGAGGTCAGGGCATTCCTGATCCACCAAGAAATATCTGCAGATCTAATTTGGATAAAAGCATAGTTTGTGCTAATTAATTGTGCTACCTCCCTAATAGTGGGTGATTTGCTGTCAAGGATTCTTTGGGCTGCAAGTTTCAGCTTTTGATTTTTGTCTGCTGAAATGGAGACTGTCATGTCCAGAGAATTTAAAATAAACCCGAGGTGATGCAAGACCTGGGTTGGTATTGTCACTGATTTGACTTCATGAAGCAAGAAACCCAAATCGTGATACAGGGTTAGGGTATCATCAATGTTGGCTTGGCACTCTTCAGGGAAGTATCCTAATAAAAAGGAGTCATCAAGGTAGCCACTTGAGATATGTCCCAACTCCCTTACGAACGAAAACACAGGTTTCGTACGTTTTGTGAAGAGACGAGAGGCGCAAGAGTGCCCCTGAGCAACACACGTAAATTGATATAGGTTTCCTGCCATATTAATTTAAGAACCTTTTGGTGCTCTTTTGGAATAGCAACTGAATAGTAGGCATCCTGCAGGTCAATGGACGCCATGTAACAACAAGGTCTCATGAGTTGGGAAAAGTATGGATGGAATCCATTTTAGAATGATGAAAACGAACAAAGGTATTAAGATCCTTTTAGTTAAGGATCATACGGAAAGACCTATCTTTTTTAGGTCTCAGAAATATGTTCGATATAAAGTCTCCTTCCGCATGGGAGCTTTAAACTATCATCCCTTTTTCTAGGAATTTGGATATTTGTGCATTGACGTTTGTACTTTCCTGAGCTGAAAAATT